GGTCCCAGAAGATGAAGAGAAAAAGAAAAGGTATGAGAAAATTTTTGAAGAGATTATAGTTGAAAATTTCCCCAACATGGAACAGGAAATAATTAAGTTCAAGAGGCGCAAAGAGTCCTGTACAGGATAAACCTGAGGAGAAACACACTAAGACACATATTAATCAAACTAACAAAGACTAAACACAAAGAAAGAATATTAAAAGCAGCAAGGGAAAAGCAACAAGTAACATACAAGGGAAATCCCATATGTTTAACAGCTGCTATTTCAGCAGAAACTCTGCAGGCCAGAGGGGAATGGCAGGATACATTTAAAGAAGAAAGGGAAAAATCTACAACCAAGATTACTATATCCAGCAAGGATCTCATTCAAAATTGATGGAGAAATCAAAAGCTTTTTAGACAAGCAGAAGTTAAGAGAATTGAGTACCACCAAACCAACTTTACAACAAATCTTAAAGGGACTTATATAGTCAAGAAATACAAAAGAAGAAAAAGATCTACAAAATCAATCCCAAACAATTAAGAAAATGGCAATAGGAATGGCAATAGATAGCAATGTATATCAATAATTACTTTAAATGAAAGATTAAATGCTCCAACCAAAAGACACAGACTAGCTAAATGGATACAAAAACAAGACCCATCTATATGCTGTCTATAAGAAATCCACTTCAGACTCCAAGACACATATAGACTGAAAGTGAGAGAATGGAAAAATATATCCCATGCAAATGGGAAGCAAAAGCAAGCTGGAGTAGCGATCCTCATATCAGACAAAATAGACCTTAAAATAAAGAAGATTACAAGAGATAAGGAAGGACACTATATAATGATCAAGGGATCAGTCCAAGAGGAAGACATAACAGTTGTGAATATCTATTCACCCAACATAGGAGCACCTCAATACATTAGACAAACACAGACATAAAAGGAGAAATTGACAGTAACATAATAATAGCAGGAGACTTTAACACCCTACTCACACCAATGGACAGATCATCAGAACAAAAATTGATAAGGAGACAAAAATCTTAAATTATGCATTAGATGAGGTGGATCTCATTGATATCTTCAGGACATTCCATCCAAATGTAGAAGAATACACCGTCTTCTTAAGTGTACACAGGACATTCTCCAGGATAGACTACATCTTGGGTAACAAATCGAACCTCAGTAAAATTAAGAAAACTGAAATCATATCTTCTTTGACCACATGTTATGAGACTAGATATCAATTACAAGAAAAAAACTGTAAGAAACATAAACATATGAAGATGAAACAATACGTTTCTAAATAACCAACAGATTACTGAAGAAATCAAAAAGGAAATAAAAAAAATTTCTAGAAACAAATGACAATGAAAACACAACAACTCAAAACCTATGGGATGAAGCAAAAGCAGTTCTAAGAGGGAAGTTCATTGCAATACAATCCTACCTCAAGAAACGAGAAAAACATTGGATAGACAACCTAACTTCATACCTAAAACAACTGGAAAAAGAAGAGCAAAAAAACCCCAAAGTTAGTAGAAGGAAATAAATCATAAAGATCTGGGCAGAAATAAATGAAAAAGAAATGAAAGAAATAATAGTAAAGATTAATAATACTAAAAGCTAGTTCTTTGAGAAGATAAACAAAATTAACAAACCTTTATCCAGATTCATCAAGAAAAAAGAGAGAAGAATCAAATCAACAAAATTAGAAATGAAAAAGGAGAGGTTACAACAGACAATGCAGAAATACAAAGGATTATAAGAGATTATTATGAATAACTATATGGCAATAAAATGGATAACCTGGAAATGGACAGATTCTTAGAAAAGTTCAATCTTCCAAGACTGAACCAGGAAGAAATAGAAATTATGAACAACCCAATTAAAGCACTGAAACTGAAGCTGTGATTAAAAAAAAAAATCTCCCAAAAAACAAAGGCCCAGGACCAGATGGCTTCACAGGGGAATTCTATCAAACATTTAGAGAAGAGCTAATGCCTATCTTTCTTAAAACTCTTTCAAAAAATTTCAGAGGAAGGAACACTTTCAAACTCATCCTATGAGGCCACCATCACTCTGATACCAAAACCAGAAAAAGACAACACACACACACACACACACACAAACAGAATTCAACAACACATCCAAAAGTTCACACATCATGATCAAGTTGGGCTTATTCCAGGGATACAAGGATTCTTCAATATATGCAAATCAATTAATGTGATACAGCATACTAACAAATTGAAAGATAAGAACCATATGATAGTATCAGTAGATGCAGAAGAAGCCATTGACAAAATTCAGCACCCATTTATGATTAAAATACTTCAAAAAATGGGCATAGAAGGAACCTACCTTAACATAATAAAGGCCATACATGTTTAACCTACAGCAAACATTATTCTTAATGGTGAAGAAGTAAAAGCATTCCCTCTGAATTTAGGAACAAGACAAGGGCATTCACTTTCACCACTATTATTCAACATAGTTCTGAAAGTCCTAGCTACAGCAATCAGAGAAGAAAAAGAAATAAAAGAATCCAGATTGAAAAAGAAGACCTAAAGCTCTCACTGTTTGAAGATGACATGATACTGTACATAGAAAATCCTAAGCAGAGTATCAAAAAATTACTAGAGCTAATCAGTGAATTTAGCAAAGTTTCAGGATACAAAATCAATACACAGAAATCACTTGCATTTCTATACACTAACTGAAAAATCAGAAAGAGAAATTAAGGAATCAATTCCATTCCCCATTGCAACAAAAAGAATTAAATATCTAGGAAAAAACTTACCTAAGGAGACAAAAGAATTGTACACAGAAAATTATAAGACACTAATGAAAGAAATCAAAGAACAACATAAACAGATGGAGAGATACTACATGTTCCTTGGTAGGAAGAATCAATATTGTGAAAATGACTATACTACCAAACTCAATCTACAGATTTGATCCCTATCAAATTACCAATGGCATTTTTCACAGAACTAGAACAAAAATTTCATAATTCATATGGAAATACAAAAGACCCCAAATAATCAAAGCAGTCTTGAGAAAGACCAGAGTTGGAGGAATGGAGCTTGAGGAATCAATCTCCTGACTTCAGATGATACTGCAAAGCTACAGTCATCAAGACAGGATGGTACTGGCACAAAAACAGAAATATAGGGGAATAGAACAAGATAGAAACCCCAGGAAAAAACTCATACACCTATGGGTATCTTAATTTTGACAAAGGAGGCCAGAATATGCAATGGGGAAAAGACAGCCTCTTCGATAAATGGTTCTGGGAAAACTGCACAGCTACATGCAAAAGACTGAAATTAGAACACTTTCTAACACCATACACAAACTCAAAATGTATTAAAGACCTAAATATACGACCAGAAACTATAAAACTCTTGGAGGAAAACATAGGCAAAACACTCGATGACATAAATCAAAGGAAGATCCTCTATGACCCATCTCCTAGAGTAATGGAAATAAAAGCAAAAGTAAACAAGTGGGACCTGATTAAACTTAAAAGCTTTTGCAGAGCAAAGGAAACTATAAGCAAGGTGAAAAGACAACCCTCAGAATCAGAGAAAATAATAGCAAATGAAACAACTGACAAAGCAAGGATTAATTTCCAAAATATACAAGCAGCTCATACAACTCAATACCAGAAAAATGAACAACCCGATCAAATAGAGGGAAAAAGACCTAAACAGACATTTCTTCAAAGAAGATTTATAGATGGCTAACAAACACATGAAAAGGTTCTCAACATCGCTCATTATTAGAGAAATGCAAATCAAAACTACAATGAGAAATTACCTCACACCAGTCAGAATGTTCATCATCAAAAAGTGTACAAACAATATATGCTGGAGAGGATGTGGAGAAAAGGGAATGCTCTTGCACTGTCGGTGGGAATGTAAATTGATACTGCCACTATGGAAGACAGTATGGTGATTCCTTAAAAAAAAAAAACTAGGAATAAAACTACCATAAGACCCAGCAATCCCACTCCTAGGCATATACTCTGAGGAAACCAAAACTGAAAAACACATGTATCCCATTGTTCACTGAAGCACTATTTACAATAGCTAGAATATGGAAGGAACCTAGATGTTCATAGACAGATGAATGGATAAAGAAGTTGTGGTACATAAACACAATGGAATATTACTCAGCCACAAAAATCAATGCATTTGAGTCAGTTCTAATCAGGTGGATGAACCTAGAACCTATTATACAGAGTGAAGTAAGTCAGAAAGAGAAAGTTAAATACTATATTCTAATGCATATATACAGAATCTAGAAAAATGGTACTGAAGAATTTATTTACAAGGCAGCAGTGGAGAAACAGACATAGAGAATAGGCCTATGGACTTGGGGAGGGGGGAGAGAAGGAGATGTATGGAAAGAGTAACATGGAAACTTACATTACTGTATGTAAAATAGATAGCCAATGGGAATTTACTGTCTGGCTCAGGAAACTCAAACAGGGGCTCTGTATCAACCTAGAGGGGTGGGATGGGGAGGGAGATGGGAGGGAGGTTCAAAAGAGAGGGGATATATGTATACCTATGGCTGATTCATGTTGAGGTTTGATAGAAAACAGAAAATTGAGAGAAAACAGAAAATTCTGTAAAGCAATTATCCTTCAATTAAAAAATAAATAAATTTATAAAAAAGAATCTCCTAATGAGACTATTGTCAAAAACTATTTTAAAATCTCATAAGTACAAAAAGCATATCTCATGAAAATCTACATGACCATAAACTTGACAATCCAGTTGATGTTCAAGTTAAATTGACAGGTATCATTGTTCATGAAATCAGAGTTAAAAATTTATATACACTGGATTAGGAACAAAAACCAGCCATATTCTTCTCATTTTAAAGCTTATTTCTGATTATATCTGCAACATAGACTAACTATCCTTGAAATAGGCATGATCGTTTTTTTGAGTTGCAGTGGATGAGGAAGCAAGAATCCACAGAAATTACACTCACCTGTCATGGTCTGTGTGATAAAATCCATCAACACAAATACCTTGGAGAAAATGCCAGGTGATGCCTTCCTCTGCTTATTTCTGAAAGGATTGCAAACTCTAGTACAACCAGCTGCCCAGGAAGTGATCCCAGCAAGAACCCAGGCTCCATCATCTCTTCTACAGACAAGTGGGCCTCCAGAGTCCCTCTTTTATGGTAGAGAAAGCAGAAATTTTAAAACAGTTACAAGTTAAAAATATTTTATCAGGTGCAAAAAGATCAGCCCTCATCTCAGAGAGAGAAGTAGTAGAAGCATAAAAACTCAATGGTCATTATTCATCAACATTCTGTGTTCATCATTTTGTTTCTCCATCATTGGTTTCAAAGGACTATCCTTTTATTCACATGGAAACTCCTTCCACTCACTTCATGCAATCTTGTCAAGCTAACCCTTAATTTCTCTCTTCCTCCTAGTTTTTTGAGAACAATTCAAAATCAATGGAAGAAGGAGGGGGAGTTCACAGATAAACGCTTAGATAGTTCACAGATAATGCTTCCACCATAGCATTCTAGGGAAGACTGGATCACATTCCAAGCCCACAGTACCAGTGAATAGAGTACCCAAGTTCACGCAATGGCTCAAGGATTTTAAAACAGAATGCTTGGGAAACTTATTTTGTGCCGGGGCTATATATAAAGGATCCACTGGCTCCCACACTAGAGGATAAAGGAGCCACACTTTCAGGATCTTTTCTTTAATAATTCTTCATAACAATGTGCTGCTTTGAAAACACATGCCAATTGGTATCAGATTGAAACCCCTCAAAAGGCACAGAATTGTTTGACAACTTTATCCAGAAAATACTTACCTGTGAAGGATGAGACAGTAAGTCTACCTACATTCCAATTTAGAAAGCAGAATAATCGTAAATTTCTATCTCCTTCCTACCAAACTCTTCCTGGCCCTTATTCTGTCACCCCCTAGAAGAAAAATTAAACATTTTCCTAACAGAAAATTTTAGAGAGCTCCCCATGGCAGTTTCAAGCTGCTTGTTGGCAAAGAATAAAGACTCCCTGCTCCTCCACTTTAAGAAAAACAATTATAATTAAAACTTAAAATTCACATCTATCACAAACTGGCATCCCTTTCCTTTCTTGTCAGAGTTGGTTTTCTTTGTGGAGTTGTTGTGTTGGCCTTTGATTTTGTTAGGCTGGGAATGTTGAAACCATCTTCCCTGCCTGACCTCTTCACTCCCCCACAAGTAGGTACAAGGGGTAATAATGCATATGGGACAGAAAAGAATTCTCTCAGCTCTGGTCAAGGAAAGTTTTTCAGTGGAAATAAGATGGAAGGATGAGGGAAGAGCGAAATCTTAAAGAAGTAACCCCTCAAAAGCAGCCTAGAAGCCACTCTCACCCATGTGATAGTGGCTGAATAAAAAAACGGGACTGGTTTATGCTAGGAGGACTAGTGTGCTGCAGTCATAGGGTCACAAAGAGCTGGACATGACTGGGCAACTGAGCAACAACAATGCTTATTACCTGGCAGGCATCCTTTGCCCCATCAGGAACACTGGCGCACAACACGTCCCTTCCCAGGGGAGGAAGGTTCATGCCCCTGAGCAGGGTACCACATGTTCTGTCATCCATGATGGGAACTTCCACTTCTTGTAGGATATTTGAATATTCTGATGCTGTGGAGAAGGGACTGGTAAGTTGGTCAACAACTGTCCCCACTTAAAGAAACCAACAAGAAGCTTACAAGTTTAGAATTGGTAGATGTTTAACCAAAATGTAGAAGTAATTTTTTTTTATAGCTCTGAATGATATTTTTCCCTAAAATCTTACACTAGTGACAAAGGGATTTTTTAAATCAGATTTTTAATGTAACATAGGCAATTGTAGCTTCTCTGAATATATGTTTAAATGTTTCCTCAAGAGGAAAACTTTAGTCAGTAAAAGTGATATTTTGTAATGTTCTTTGCTTTTTAAAAATCACAATATCAAAGATAAGGAAGCTGAACTATTGTTACTTTACTGTATTCTTCTTCAACTATTATATTTACTTCCTGTTCCTGACCCTGATACACCTAACCAAAATGGCAGCAGGAGGAATTTTATGTAGAGCCTTAAGTATAGCCTTTTTTTGGTGACGACAACCAGAAGTCTTCCCTGAGTTAGAACGCAGAGAGGATAAAACAAGGATAAATGTATTATTTAAGACCAACAAAATTCCTGATTCCAATGGGCATGTAAATAAGCCTAGAAGAAATATTACATTCTTTTGATGTCTCTTACTCTCTGAAGTCTTGCCCCATCCACTGGCTGTGCAAAGAGTCCCTTCTTCAAATTTATCACCTCTATGGGGAATACAGATTGGCCGAACAGTAGTTCCTGAAGAAAACAACAATAACAAAAAAATCATAAGAGTCACAGACAAGTGATCCTAAATATGTTTGGAAACTGACATCTGGTTGATGTCATAGCTTCTACAGTTTCTTCCTAAATGTAATTAACAATATTTGAAAGGTTTTTTCTCTCTCAAAAGAACTATCCCATATTTATAGAAATTTAAAAAGTACAAATAAAGGAAAACAACTCACTGTTAAAAGTACCAAAATGACCTTCCCCAACTACCAGCATTTTAGGATGTGACCTTGTTCTTAGGGGGCTTCCCTCATAGCTCAGTTGGTAAAGGATCTGCCTTCAATGAGGGAAATCCCAATCTGACTCTTAGGCCAGGAAGATCCTCTGGAGAAAGGATAGGCTAACCACGCCAGTATTCTTGGGCTTCCTAGTGGCTCAGCTGGTTAAGAATCCACCTGCAATGTGGGAGACCTGGGTTCAATCCCTGGGTTGGGAAGATCCCCTGGAGAAGGGAAAGGCTACCCACTCCAATATTCTGGCCTGGAGAATTTCATGGACTGTATAGTCCATGGGGCTGCAAAGATTCAGACACAACTGGGAAATTTTCATTTCACTTCACTTGTTCTTAAGGGATAGTTTTTCACTCAAGTAATTGAGCACTGTTAGGTGGCAAGCGGTCTTCTAGCCCTCAGTAAATGACCAGGAAAAATTCCTGCCCTGACAGAATGTAGATCTGAGCATGAGTGAGTGTGAGTGAGTGAGAGAGAAAGAGAGAGTGAGTGAGTCTGGGGTGAAATAACAAGCAATAAATCTACTAATTTAGCTATTAGGTAATATGTGCTCTGATTTTTCCAAAAAATCAGGAAAGCATAAGAAAGATGAGAAGTCTGGGGATTAGGGAATATAGCAAGGGAGATGCAATTTGTAAAATGGCAGTCATGCCAAGTTCCATTGAACAGAGCCTTGAAGAAGCTGAAGGAAGAAATCAGGCAGTCATCTCCGTGGAAAGTATCTGAAGAAGAAAAAAACAAAATGGAAATTTCCTGCAGTGGCATCATGTCATATATGTCTGAGGAACAGTGAGGATTCTAGGATGTCTGGAGCAGACTAAACAAAAGAAATTCTAGTAAAAAATGAACAAAAAAAGAGGTTGGCTACAGGGTTAGGATGCTGGGTGATGTCAGCTAAGAAGCTAAGAACACTGATTTGCATCTGAGTGTAATGGAGAACCACTGAAGTGTTTTGAGCAGAGTAATATAATCTGATTTACATTTCAAAAGTATTATTCCGGCTGCTGGGTTAATAATAAAAACTAGGGATGCAAGAGAGAAGTTGGAGATGATTCAAGAGACCGTTCAAATTGACCCAGGCAAGAAATGATGGGAGCTTGTAGCAGGATGTAGGAGAGGAGAGGGTGAGACAGAAGCAACAGAATTTTTCTGATGAATTCAATATTGAGTGTGAGTGAAAGAAGAGTGAGCAATGAGTAAGGTCAATGCCTCTATTTAATTCAGCTATTGTTACCAATTCCAACCATGTTCTTACCTTTAAGTTTTATTGACTCCATTTCAAGTCTTCTTTTCAGTTAATATTTTCTTGTTCTTTAGTCATTTTTGATAGACTTTACTTATTTAAACTTAAAACTTACTTTGTAGTATGTATATCATTTTAACATCTGTAATCTTGGAATGTCTGATTCTGGTTGATGTTACTTTGGACTCTGGTGCTTTCTCTGCAAGCAACTTTCTCTGCATGCTTTTTAATTGTGTGTGCTCTCAATCAATCATTAAAGCTTTATGGGAGTACATTCAAGCTGAGATTTAAGGTTTATATCTTCAAAGAGAATTTACTACCTTTGCTTCTGCCAGAAACCCAATTACTCACCCGGAACAATTTTAAAATCTTGGCTTAGAGTTTTGGGGACAGGTAATGTGAATGCCAGCTTCAAATCTGAATGAAGGCTAGCTCAGGAAAATAGATATTTCTGAGAGCCCTCCATCCAGGGCTAAGGTTCAAGCAGGTAAATTTTCCTTATTCCCTCACTCTATGTGGCATATTTTCCTGTCTCTTTCCCTCCATCTTTTAAAGTATCGCCTTTCAAGAAGTCCCAGGTTACATACAAGGGAGGTTCCAATCAGACTCTCTGCTTCCACATCCTACTCCCACGTAGGCTCCTTGCAAAGATAGTTAAGGTTATAGGTTCTTGAAGATCATTTAGATGCTTCAATGGCAGTCCCTTAACTTCAGTGTCTGGCTAACTCTTTGAATTTGTTCTTTCATTGTTTTTGGTCACTGAACACTTCCCTTTCCTGTATTTTTTCTAAAGTAGGCTTTTAATATTTTGTCCAGAATGCTTAGATTATCTGTACTGAGAATGGTGTCAAATATCTTGTCCATAATAATGACAGAAAGGAGAAATCTGAGGACATTTTCAAATGTCCCATACTCCTTGGTTAGAGATGAGTACAGGTAGATGGTCTAGAATATTGCCCAGCCAAGACACTGGAGTACTTAAAATGCTGATTAAGCATATATAAGTTGTGGCTGGTACTTATAGCCTGTGCAGTACTTTTTACAGGCTATAGATTAAACAAAATTATTTTTAAGGAACAAAATTTAGCTATTCTAATATTACTAGATATATATATATACACACACAGACAGTTAACTGGTAAAAATTAATAAATATAGCTTTTTCCATTACATCTTTTGAATTCTAACTCTCCCTACTTACCAAACTTGACTTTGAGTTTTAGATACAGCAGTGCAATATTAAAACTCATATACCCAAGGCTGTTGTATTCAGGATGGATGATAATTTTTGAGACAGGAATATTCTGTTCCTCCTTATCCTTCTGAAAGAGGTTGTACTCCCCAGCAGTCACTGTCAGACTCTTAATTTGCTTCCTAAAACCAAACAGAAATCATTCAGTAAGTATAATCCTTTCCTCCAGGAAAGCCTGTCTTGATTTCATGTAATTAACATGATTAATGTATCTTTAGGGATTTTCAAATCTTAAAAGAAGATGTACTTTTATTAGTGATTATTACTATTGCTATAATTTCTATAAATTGTAGCTATCTATAAAACATCATGGTTTTCAATCATGGAGTGTTTACATTCTGGGAACTCTTTCTCCTATTGTCACTCATCTTTCTGCATAAAATATTCAGATATCTTTTGTACATAAACCAATCTCTCTCTATATATATATGTTCTACCATTTTAAACAAGATATAAAAGTTGTTCCTACTGTCCTTCTTTTTCTCCTATTAGCACTCTCTTTTAATATTATTTTTCCCTTCTAATTACTGAAAAGTAGATTATTAAAACATTGGCTCATCCATTTAACATTTGATGTTAATACTTTATTAGAATCAGTAACCATCAACCCACCCTCCACTAACTCTATAAATCATAGGTTATGTGTGGAATCTTTGCGGTCTCTGATTAGTAGAGTAGAAAGCACAAGAAATCTTGGGCTACACACAAGTGTCTGGGAATCAGAAAGTCAGTCAGCAGGTGGACCAGATGGAAAAAACTAAGAAAGGGACTAAGGTTGAACCCTGCATGGTATTTAGGGTATTGAATTTCCTAGTCCAATTGCCATGGATCAAGGTTTAATAAATAATGGAAATCCACAACTTACTCATTGAGGCTAATCAGGCAATGTGCTGCTGTAACAACCAGATCATCTTGAATCAAACTTCCTCCACAGAAGTGGTGTCCACCTAATTTCAGGGAGACCTGCCCAAGAAAAAAGTTAGGAACACAACTGATATACATCTCCACATAGATGTCATCTCCTTCAGAAACATTTGAAATCAACTCTTCTAATATGATGTCACATTAAGATACTGATACATTCAATAAATTGGTTAGTAAGAGATTTCTTATGAAGCAAACTTTTTGACAGTGAGGTCAAGTGGGGGTCCATAGAAAAATTAACTGTGAAGCTGGAGTTATGGTATCTAAAAATAGGGAAATAATTCACCTTTAGCTCATTAAGAAATCAATGTCTTTATCACACTCACCTGCCATGGGTGTCCACCAACTGTTGAACTTCTCCAACTACTACTTCTAGAGAAGAACCCAGATTCCAAGACAGTTTCTATACTTTTCAAATTAACCGCATGAATTCTGTACTTCAGTCCTGTGTGGGAGAGCATATGTGTCTCACACACACACACACACACACACACACACACACACACACACACACAGCTCCTCATGTCAGGGTTCATTGTATCAAGACTTCCATTCTGGGGTTTTATTCTGCCAGTGCCAATGTTCACTCAGCTGGAGGTTACCCCATTTTCTCAAAATATCCCCGACCTGAAACTGCCCCACTCACACCTCACTGACTAGCAGTTTCCTGGCGACTCTCCCTGCCCTCTGCAACCTGAGCTGCCTCAACAAAAACTGAACGAGGACACTGAACGAGGCCCCTCTCCCTCCGGGAGAGATTTGGGGCTTTCCCTGGGAGGGTAAGCATGGCAGAATTTAGGGGGAATGAAAGGTATTGGAGAACATACGCTGCTCTGAAACAGAATCACTGGGTTTTAAGTTACTTCCACTTGGTTATCTTTCCTTGGAGGAAGATCTTTAGCACAAGCAAGGCTAACAGATGTGCCTAAAAACTTGAACTCCAGAATCTAAAGGATTTCAGAAGAAAATTCGGCCCAGGCACCTCGTGGGCACATCTGGCCGTTGTCTCTGTGGGCCCGGGGAGTAATGAAGGCGCCCAGGACGCGGCTCACCTCGGCTGGGCGAGGAGTGGACCGCCAGCAGCAGCAGCAGGAGCGGGCCAGCCCCGGGCAATGCCCGCAGGGCTCCCTCGCGCGACGACCCGTCCATCTTCGCCAGACGCAGGCGCTGCGAACCCGCGAAGAGAAGCGCTCTGGCCTCACAGCTCTGAGCTCCCGGAAGCGCCCGCCTGCATCACTCCTCCCTTCCGAGCCGGGAGCAGGGTGGGTGGGGGCGCACAGGTGTCCCTCCTCAGGACCAGCCCAGCCGCAGCTGCTCTCCGGCCACCCAGGTGTCATCGCGTCCCCGCCATCCACCCCTGCAGACAGGAGCGAGGTAACCTTGCAGGCGAGCCAGAGTCAGATGCAGGAGATGCTAGGATAGATGCGGGACCAAGGGGATCAATGGCCTAGAATGCTCGGCGCGGGTGATTTCTGTTCCCAGTCAGGGAATGTGGCCCAAGTCCCAGGGTCAAGGAAGCTGGGTACCCATGCAGGACACAGGCAGGCTGACCCTGAAAGGAGGAAGACTCTTGGAAGTTTGTGTATTAAAGATCCCACCCAGCTTCTAAGAAGCTCGTTGAAGACCTTGACACTCCCGAGTTTTCAAAAGGACTGGATATGAACCATCAGGTTTCTGCCCTATTCCTTTTCTGGGTGTCAGTGTTATCATCAGCTGCAGTGGAATGGACCAAAGCTGTAGGATCCAGCATTTAAGATTATTAAAATGAATTCACTGGCATGTCAGCATTTTTTTCAATCAACATTATTTTCTGGTAAGTAATTTGTAACAAAATAGCTTGAGGTTGGAAGAGGAATTAAGCTAGAATTTGTCATTGATTTATAATTTATCAAAAAATGAGGACAGAGTTAAGTGAACACTATATATATATTAACTAACCTAGACACCCAGGCCCAATTGTCTCACCTCTGTATAAAATAGAAATAAAAGCTCCTTGAGGTAGAAGGGTAAACAAATTAGGGAGACACATGGTAGACAGAAGGACAGGAAAAGAGGTGGTCAAAGTGGAGGGAATGCAGATACAGGGACGGGCAGGTGAGAGCTGAGGGAAGAAGCAGCAGAAGGTGAAGTGGGAACCTTGGGCAAAAAGCTCAAAGAATGGGATTGGCACCCAAACTTAGACATACCATCTCAAACCTTTTTGTTTCACGAACCTGAAAGGAGTTTCTGTGATCTTTATATCTCAAGTCTTAGACCACCGAAAAGCTCTAGAGCTGCACGATTCAATAGACACTAGCCATATGTGGTTATTCAAATTAATATTAGCTAAAATAAAAATTGAGTTCCTCAGTCACACTAGCTATACCTTAAGTGCTCACCAGCCACCTGTAGCTAGTGGCTACCATATTGGACAGCATGGATACAAAACACTGTCATCATCATATAGTTCCGTTGGACTGAATTGTTTTTGAGAGTAGCATCGTTTTAAGCAAACACACCTTGGATGACAGTTTGAGTAGATGACTCCTGGGTTTTGAGCTTGAGTGTTGAGGCAACACCGGGAGGGGGCTTGGTAAGGTAAACAGCTCTTTCCTGAATATGTACAACTACACCTGAGTTCTCCAGGGAATCTCCAGGTAGTAGCCCTCAACACGCTTATCTCTGAGTTTCGCTGTTACTATAGGAATCCCGCAAGTATTACCATAACCATTTGTGGCCTCAGGGACTCACTACTCTCCAAAAAAGCTCAGATCCTCCAAATGGACCCAAACTCCTCTTTTTTCTTAGCAAGAGAGGGTCATGTTAAAGCTACTACAAAACTCTTACAAAATGAGAGAGAAGGAAAGGAAAAATGCAAGTTGGATATACAATGTTCAAATTCATGGCTAACTTTCTCATGAAGCTCAGAAACCATGTCTCCTTGCAGTCTTGTATACATGGTACACACACAGCTTTGCAGGATCATTAGTGTTTTGTTTCAGACCTGAAGTTTCCATGGGTTCCATGTTTCCATGAAACATCATTTCCTGTTACAGCACAGCTCCCTTTGTTTCCAGAGTTCAAACTCCCAGCCTTAAGTGAGACCTTGTCCTTCTAATACAGAGGATTGTTCCCTTACAGGCCTAAAAAAAATAATACCTTTCCATTAAATAGAAAAAGAATCACTCATTGTGAATTGCATATATATCAAAAGCCAAGTCATTAGTTTCAGATGTAAATTTGCTAGTAAGATGATGGTTTAAATATAATTGAGTTTGTGGTGATGCTGAAATGGAAGTATTCTCTTATTTAAAGAAAAACGACAAAACTATAGAAAAGGAAAGGATGTCAAGCAGAGTGAGCTGGACTATCCCAAATTGGATTGAGAAACCTGCCTTGAATTTGAACATAATTTCATTAGGGCAGCATAATCGTGATCTGCTACTGGAGGCCTTCCAGGACACTTGATGGATGCCCCAATTCTAAGGATAGTGGAAAAATTAGGAGTGTTAGGAGTTTAACCCAGGACCAATAAGTAAACCATGGGTACATAATATCTTGTTTAAAAAATAAGTTTTTCCATCCCCACTAAAACACTGGTCCAAACTCTAGAACTAGAACCCTCTCCCAAGTCCCACAAGGCCTAGGAATGGGCAGTAAAGTGATCAATGGTGACATTAGAAACAGCAATTTCCTTTGAATTTGTTGCAGGCACAGATTTCACTAGGATGCAGACAGAATGTGAAGGACGGAGATAGAATGAGTGGAGACAATTTATTCTGATAGTTTGGCTGTGAAGGAGATAAAGAGATGTGGTAGTAGCTAGAGATGAAAAGGAATAAAGGAAAGGTTTTTTCCAAGAGATCTTCACGGTGGCTACCAGTATCCGTGTTTTAAAATAGAACTGAATTGACAAGAGCCAGCAAAAGGAAGAAGTTAAAGAAGAAGAAGAAAGCGGTTAAAAAAGTGACATCCAGGGCCCAGGATCCTCTTTTTCCATTGTAGCAACAGGAGAGAGGGGAGGATTAGATGCAGGTAAGTTTGCAGAGTGCAGGATACTGAGGAAGTATCTGTTTTCTACTTTGTATTTACACCATCAAGAAAGAGATGAAGGCATCTCCTCAGTAAGATGAGGGGAGGGTATCTGGAATGGGTAAGTACTGAAATGGTCATTGTGTGGCACGAAAAGGACAGCAGGCACAGTGCACACAGAACAATGTGATGAATGAATGATGGGGGAAAGGAAGAAAGATGGTATTTTTTATTTTAAAAGTGGGCACCTAATGGTGACATAAATTTCAGTGGGTACTAACCACAGACCACTTGAGAGATTGAAACCAGACAATTATTTTCATCATATTTTATATAAAATATACATTTACATAATTTTATTTTGGAAAGACCTAGGCAAAGTGTACACAATCAGACTTAAATGGGAGAAATCCTTTATGGGAGATATATTTCTAACTGGCAGAGCAAAAGTAACAAAAATGTACATTTATATACAACTGATCAAAGCAATCTGAAAAACATGATACAAGTATTTCCATCTAACAAAAGGAAGGATGGGTGAGTCACAGCAAGTCAGCTGATTTCCACATTATAAAAGCAGGCCATGGTTTCTACAGATACTTTAATGCCTTTGGAGGAAATTTAAAAATATTTTTTTTTCCCCAGAAACACAACAAAATCGCTAATTTTTACGTGTGAAAGTGTTAGTCACTCAGTTGTGTTCAACTCTTTGTGATCCCATGGACTGTAGCCTGCCAGGCTCTGTTCATGGAATTCTGCAGGCAAGAGTACTGGAGTGGGTTGCCATTTCCTTCTCCAGGGGATCCTCCTGACCCAGGGATGATCCCCTGGAGAAGGGAATGGAGACTGCAAAACAGGAGTATTTACCTCTGTCACATTAAAGTATACAGGCAGTTCAGTCACTTATAGGGTCTGTGTTTTGCTGCAATAATTATCTTAAGAATTTCTAAAACTAAGAGCCACACTCAACAGTTACCTCTTCGGAGGCAGTGGGCTTTCTATTTGGATTCGGGGGACTCACAGAGCTTGATAGGTCCATAGAATTAACCACTCCTTTAATGTATGGTAAACGTAACTGAGACAATTGGTAACTTGTCCCGGGTGAGGCAACTCCTTTGTGGCAGAGCAGCACTAGATTCCAGATCTCCAGATTCTTGGATTGGGTCTCCCCTTCTATGGAGCAGCAAGACAACCCCAAAAGGACATTATGCACATTTGTATTACTCGTATCCACCGTGATACAAATACACATGTGCACCACTGAGAATGGGAAAAAATGTCCTGGATTTCTGGACATAGAGAGCTCTTTTTATTTTGTGGCAAATGTTGATCTAAACTTACAAACTAATAATGACCCCATATTGTGGTGATGCTAATTTTACCAGTTATGTGCCCTAAAAGTTTTTATGGAAAGGATCCTTGGTGATAAAATTAGAACATTTTTATATGAGCCAATTGATAGATACCAATTCTGTTGTGACATTATATTTTACTGATAATAAACCGCTTGACTGAAGTTATTTCATTTGTTTTCTTTAAGTTATGTGGCTACTCACAGACAAAAATAAGGAAGTGCTATTTTTGTAAGGATTGCTCAACATACTTGTCACATCAAAAACTTAAAGAATGATCATACAAAGTTATATTTCCCTACATTTTTGGCATTGTAAGTTTTTCTTATTCAATTGTAGCCTAAACATAAGATTTGACAGGTTTTTTTTTTAAACTCTTTTAAAATGTCAAAAGATGCCATTTAGATAGTTGTTTTTGTTGTTATTAATGGGAAATACCAACATACTCTTTTATCAAAGTAAATGTGATTTGGAAACTGTGAAAAAATTAAACAAATGCCTATAACTACATTTGCTTTGAGTGCTGTTACTATAACCTATAGATTTATTGATCTAAGGTACAAATCTATCACAAATCAGAGAAAAACATTTTAAAAGCTTATTGTAATGAGTACAATTAAGAAATAATTAACAAAAGTTGACATGTGTAACTTAAAAAAAGAGATATAGGTGTAGGCATAAACTTATGTCATGGACCCTTCTATGAGCCGTAACAAAACATGAGTTTTATATACTGGACTCCTCGTCTGGTACATGAAAGTAGCAGGGCCATTTGCCATCTGAGAACCAAGAGTTCTGTAAATATAAGATCAAATTATTGTCCTGTTGCCACAAATGCAAAACCACCTCAGCCAACCCACCTGTTTGTCAATCTTGGCATGGCAGCTTCAACTAACCAATTGTGCTGTTAAGTCATTCTTTGAAATTCTTTGGCTCACTTTAGTCTAAATTTAAAAGTGAAAATTGTAAGACTGTAAACATCTCCTGGTAAAAGTCATAAACTCTTATTACAGGTTAAAAGGTTAAAACTCTTATTAAAGCCTGCAGTGGTTCTCCAGCCTGGCTGCATATCAGAATCTCAACCTGAGTGGCCGAGGTCCAGTGATTCCCAAAGTGCGCATGGTTATTTTCAAGTCCACTAGAGCCTAGAGCACCTGTGTGTGAGGTGTGAGATCTCAGCTGTCAGCTGAATGTGGCGTTTCAATTTGAGGGGCTTGGAAGTTTTGAAAGAAACAGTGTGAAACCCACATTTGCTTTTTACTCCTCCTCAAATTAGTTTTTCAAGTCGGTTTGTGTGCAAAGCTTTGCATTTTCTCATTTAGCCTTGCTGAAAAGCAGCTGCACCACCACTGCAAACCCCTACACCGAATAAGGTCCTACATGTTAGGCACGTCCGACGCCTACACTGGGGGCTGTGAAGTGCTGTGGGGAGCTGGAATCCAAGTGCTGACAATCCTCTTTGTTTTGTGATGGGCTTTAAAATAAACAGACCTAAAAGAATATATCTCAGGAGTCCCTAAAATAAAATTTCCTCTCCTTCAAGGTATTTGAATCTTTGGTTTAGTTCGCTACAGTTAATCAATGAACCATATTTCATGAATACCATTAACAGGTTGAAAACATGAGTCAGCTTTAAAATCCTGAATAATCCTTAAGGTTAACATAAATTTGTAAAGCCATTCTGGTGGCTTCTATGTCAAAGGGCGTGTCAAAGGGCTGCCACTTATTGGAGAATCTGAAGGCAAGCAGAACTGGTTCTATGCAGGACAGATGGACAGGTTAGATAGACTGAACCAACTCCAGCCTTGTTTGATGTTCCCTCCTGTCCTGGGCAAAATAGAATTGTAGGACCCTTTCTTAAAAAATTACTAAGAATTTCAAGCAGAGCACCCAGCCAAGCACATGGTGCATCTGAGCGCAAGACCCTGAGGCCTGCAGAGACTGCATGTCCACCAAGCTGGCTCTGAAGTTCCATCTCGGAAAGAGGCTGCGAACTCATAGCCAAGCCAGCTTTTGTTAAGCAAACCCGGATGAACTCCATGACTAGCCAGGGCACCCCATTCTTATTTTGATAAGGATGAGTTCCACATAATATTTCATGTTATAAGAGCAAATAAAAATAGTTATAAAATACACTTAATACCTTTGAAAAATAATGTGTGATTTACTTTTTTATAGGTACCATGCAACTATGAAAGCTATTTCACTGGCCACATCTAAGTGAAAGTATTAACTCAGGACAGAAATACCTGATCCAACAAGAAGTGCTTACTTCTAATGTTCAAAGAGATGCCAGTGTGCGCAGACAGAATGAGACAGTGACAGAGTGAGAAAGACAAAGAGAGGGAGGGAGAGAGATGGAAGGGGTTGTTGGCGGGAGAGGGGAAGGGAAGGGGAGAGAGAGAGACACAAGACAGAAAACAGAGACAGATGGGGAGAGAGAAATGCATCCAAAAGAAGGAAAAAAAAGTCTCCTGAAGGCCACATGACCCTTTTCTCTCAGAAACTTTTAGGCTGTAATAGCCATTGCAATTATTCCAACAAATGTACTCTCATATCTTTAGCAGCCCTTCAGATAAGGCATAATTGCTTTTCAAAATTTGGGGCTTGATCTTTTCCATTAACTTTCTAAGTATAAATTTTTGTTACTGATTATTCTAAAAAGTTTGTAATTAAAGTACTAGATATTGTTTTTAGCTAGGGTTCCATGTTTTTAATTTTGGGGGTGGAGTAGTTATTTTATAATAAATATTATAGTACATTTCTTGACCTTAGGACTACAGAAGTATAATTTGGGGAACTAAAAATATTTGAAATGAAATTTTAGATACATTTATGATCTATAACATTAAAGACTATTAGAAACAGAAGATAATAGTTTTAATATATACATTATTGGATTACTGATACACACAAACATGTATGCTAATTTAAATTCCATAATCCTTTGTATTTAAAATATTCCTGGCATTATCCCTTTCCAAAGAAATTTTTTTTCCTTTTATCTAGATTTACCTTGACAAAAAGTAATAATAACAACACAGAGGCAGTGCTTTCTCCTTCTGGGGTTGAAAAGAGGCAGCAGGCTTCTTGCCCTGGCTGGAGCATGTGACATACGTGTGCCTCAAGCTACTAAATGTGTATGACACCTGGCTTAGCACCAGGAACAGCACTATCCAGAGTAGGTTTTGTTTGTTTTTATTTAAGTTTATGATGAAAACCAAATTAGAATCACATATTCCAATTTCTTCAACTCCAAAATATATTACCACCCAAACACTGATGGCTGATTCCTAATTTCTTTAACTTTAGCAAGTGAATAATCAATACAAAATTTTTGAGGGACGGTGGAAACTTAATTATTTTGTAGTTTAGATTTATAATTTTTGTATGATCAGTTGTAAAAGCTGCTACTAAACCCACTATGTACAGAGAAAAATGTGTGCATATATTAAATATTTTATAAGTTATGAAATAAATAACACTAAAAGACAAATGTCAAATTGTAAGTTCAACTTTGCCATCCATACCTTTTAAATATAAATATATATATTTTAAAATTATGAATTTAGATTTTCTTTCCTAGATTTTTTTGAGCATTTTCCATGAAATCTCCAAAATTCCAAACATAGAACCAAGAACTGCAGGTTCTAGCATTCATGTTTTAAGCACAAAATTCTCATTAAGCCTAGGAAGATCAATCAATAGAGCTTCTTTGCACCCATTTAGAGTCTATGAAGATTTCTGTAATATACTGTAAATATTCCTCAGTGATTAAATATATTTTCAAAAAATAATCTCTGAAAGTTAAGATAATAAAGTAGAACATTTCTCTCAATTAATACCTTTAATAATTCTCATGTAGAATATACTATTTTTTTCTCCACCAAAATAACAATATATTTGGAGGTGGAAACATTTATGATATTTAAAAGCACTTATGAAATCTTAGAGCAGAACCACTACTCCAATAATACTTGTAATAAAATTAAAATAATTTAAAACATTTCCATAAACAATCGGGGTACTAAGATCCTTGATTTTCCCATAGGAATATGAATACCCATACACAATTCCAGAAACTTCCTTATTGATATATTAGGCAATGGGAAAACAGCTTGTATCAGAGTGGAATTTAATTTACTTCTCAACAGTATAACTTGCTCTAGCAATATCCTCAAAAGGATATAAGATAAAGCTGACTTAACAACAGCCTCTTTCCCCATATATTCCAGAAGGTTTTTACAAAAACTGTGAGATGCTCATTTCCAGTTCAGAGAATTAAATGAGCTACCTCTTGGAAGAATTTCCCAAATGGTTTATCCCAGAGGATTTATCCTCTCTGAAATATCTCATCTCATAAAGAAAGAGATGCCATGCCTTTGTAGCATTTCAAGCCTCTATTTCTGGGAGGCTACACCAAGAAATATCTACACTAAGAAATGGAATTAGATTTCCAAGTTGAAAAAGCAGACACATATATGAAAGGAAATCTAGAATTAAAGCAAGAAAAAATTCTGTAAAATGTGCAGCTGTTGTTTTCCTTCCATCTCAGGTCTCCTAGCCTCTGCTTGCTCTTTTTTTCTTCTTTCATGGAAATGCAAGTCCCCAGCACAGCGTTACCAGCAGGTGTCCCAAAATGTGTCACCCTGAACTCGGAGTGACAGGGAAAATGCCATTGGTCATGGCCCAACTGAGGTGAAAGCAAAGCTTCCGTCACTTCTTCCTCTTCCAAAGACACCAGCAGCGTCCCTTGAGACTGGGTCAAATGCTGCTACGTTTGGTTCTTTTCTCGAACTTCCTGTAATCTTTTCTCAAGGCGATCCAGTTTGGCGAGATTTTCCTGCAGTAGTTTGCTGTCTGGAACCAGCTGTAAGGCTCTTTCATAATAAGTTCTTGCAGACACGTAGTTTCCCTGCAGAGAAAAAGAAAAGGGATAATTATGTTTTGATCCATCAGAATGCTTGCTTGAAGAATGGGGAGACTAAGAAACAGACCTTCTGGCCCATTTTAACATTAATGTCCTCATAAGGAGACCCTGTCTGCTTGTATAATTTCATCCTTATCTGTTGGTGCTCTTGGAGAATCCATTTGTTTAAGTAACAGACCAGATGGAGAATGTGAAAGATATGGGTTATGCCATAAGGTTAAATGGCAGGAAAACAGATTTTCAATTCTATTAATACAGTGTATGAAGCTATCATCTCAGTGTTCTCATAGGGTTAACACTATGCCTTTGTAATCAAATGGAACCAAAGCCCTGAAAATTCATAATTAGAGCGAAGGGAAGAAAGAGAAGGTTGAGTCTGGGGAAAGGGGTGTGTGTGTGTGAGAGAAAGAGAGAGAGAAATATTTTTGAGATTGCAAGAGTAATGATTAAAAACTAGATAGTTTAGGAATCTATTATACCTACTTAATGACAGTAAATATTTTAATCTTCATCTTAAAACACAAAAGCAACTTTTGCCTAATACAGACTTTAGTGCAAATATGTTTTTATAAAATGAAGAGAACTGATAATAAATAATATGGAGTCAAATTTATCCCATACTCAAGGTGTGTGACCATGTATGTCTGCTGAATACTCTAAAGGTAGGAGAGAAGGCATGTTTCTCCAGATCTGCTAAAGACCCCTGTCTCCACACTCTATTGGTCCCCACCTGTTTTGTTTTTGAATAAATTAAATATTTCAGTTTAACTGGCAACCACATGTGCCTGGTCCCAGAAGCTCCCTGACAACAAGTCAGAATTATTAACTTTTTTCCCAGATTCTTTTCTGCCACTAAATGTATTCCTTCTGTATGGTTGACTCTCTTTAAGATCTGTGTGCTGCCAAGTCTTAGCCCTAAGATCGATAGAGATCTCTTCATTCTAAAAAACCATGAATTTGTTCCATTTTATTCTCAGTTACAGCTCCATGAGGATAAAGATCAGTTACTCTCTAAATTTTCATTACAACTTAAAATAGCACCTCTTAGAGTAAAAGTACTAGGTAGCAATATCAACCAATATTTATCGAATGCTCAAATGAACTACCTCCTGAGTGTCAGGACCTTAGACACCTGCCTGCCATATAATGAGCACTCAATCTGATGCCATCATTACTGTTATTATAAATGACTGTGTGTATGTGTGTTAAGTTGCTTTAGTCATGTCTGCCTCTTTGCATCCCTAGGGACTGTAGCCTGCCTGTCTCCTATGTCCATGGGATTTTCCAGGTAAGAATACTGGAGTGGGTTGCCATGCCCTCCTCCAGGGGATCTTCCCAACCCAGGGATCAAAGCTGCATCTCTTATGTCTCCTGCATTGGCAGTCAGGTTCTTCACCACTAGTACTAACTGGGAAGCCCATTAAATGACTATTTGTGTGTAAATGAGTAAACACTATTTCTTATGATATTCACTTGTCATATTGGTGAAAAGGAGAGTAAAAATCACAGAACAGGTAATTCTACATTGGGAATCTAGGCACTGGCATGTGCATAAATGAAAGTATTTCAGATTATTAACACTGATTCTAATAAGAGGCTAAACAGAATTCTGAACAAATAAGAACCTGGATTTAGCTACATGACTATTTTTCAAAATTCAAGTATTTAATCTTCAGATTGCCTCTTGACGTTTCTTAAGCATAGCACATATATGCAGACAACCGAACATCTGTGGCTCTCAGATTGCTCTCAAACTGTGTTCTTACTGTGGTTGATTCTGAAATTGTTTACCCAAGAGGTTTCTCTGTATTTAGGCCTCAGCCTGGTACCAGGCATCACCATCTTGGATCACCAGCTTTCTCTGTCTTTTCAACAAAATCTAGTCATAGAGTTATTTTCTCTCCCTCAAATTGCCCTTTTCATAATGAAAATGGAAATCTTTTTAAAGTTATATCCCTTAATTCAATGTCCCCAATTTCTAAAGGTGCTAGGTGGGAAATTTGAATTATCCAATTTCTGTAACTGTGCTAGCTACAATGAAGGCCACTAGTCCCATGTGTCTATTTATTTAAGTTAATGATGATTAATTAAGAATTGAGTTGCTCAATTGCACCAACCACATTTTAAGTGCTCAGCAGCCACAATGGGCTAGTGACTACTGCCTTGGACAGTACATACATGGAGCATTTCCATCACTGAAGAAAGTTCTATTAGCCAGTTCCATCCTAGAAAATGCATTATGTCATAAGGCAGAATTGAAAATAGTACTTGGTGATTTGGCCCAGTTGGTGCAACTCTGATTCAGTTCAGTTCAGTTCAGCGGCTCAGTTGTGTCCGACTCTTTATGACCCCATGGACTGCAGTAAGCCAGGGCTCCCTGTCCACTGCCAATTCCCAGAGCTTGTTCAAACTCATGGCCATCGAGTTGGTGATGCCATCCAACCATCTCGTCCTCTGTCATCCCCTTCTCTTCCTGCCTTCAATCTTTCCCAGCATCAGGGTCTTTTCCAGTGAGTCAGCTTTTCATATCAGGTGGCCAAAGTATTGGAGCTTCAGCTACAGCATTAGTCCTTCCAATGAATATTCAGGACTGATTTCCTTTAGGATTGACTGGTTTGATCTCCTTGCAGTCCAAGGTACTCACAAGAGTCTTCTCCAACACCACAGTTCAAAAGCATCAATTCTTCAGCGCTCAGCTTTCTTTATAGCCCAGCTCACACATCCATACGTGACTACTGGAAAAACCATAGCTTTGACTAGATGGACTTCTGTCAGCAAAATAACGTCTCTGCTTTTTAATGTGCTGTCTAGAGTGGTCATAGCTTTTCTTCCAAGGAGCAAGTGTCTTTTAATTTCATGACTGCAGTCACCATTTGCAGTGATTTTGGAGCCCAAGAAAATAAAGTCTCTCACTGTTTCCATTGTTTCCCCATCTAATTGCCATGAAGTGATGGGACTGGATGCCATGATCTTAGTTTTTCTGAATGTTGAGTTTTAAGCCAACTTTTTCACTCTCCTCTTTCACTTTCATCAAGAGNCAGGCTTCTGATCACTTAGGATGTCTTTCCTATCTCTCCTTGCTATTCTTTGGAGCTCTGATTATGAAAGTGAAAGTGTTAGTCACTCAGTCGCGTCTGACTCTTTCCAACCCCATGGACAGAAGCCTGCCAGGCTCCTCTATCTGTGGAATTCTCCAGGCAAGAATATTGGAGTGCATTGCCATTCCCTTCTCCAGGGTATCTTCCCGACCCAGGAATCAAACCCAGGTCTCCTGCATTACAGGTACTTTCTTTACCATCTGAACCACAAGGGAAACTCCAGTAATAAAAAATGTATTATAGGTTTTCTGCTTCATCCATTTCATTTTAAATAGAAATTTATGAAAAATATAATCTTTTATTGCCAATAGTATGAGCAAGTCTTTCCTTCCCTATGTTTGTGTCATCTCCTTGCAAAGTTTTATTCCAACTATCAACCTTGCTTCAGCCCTCAGTATTTTCCTAAGCATCACCCAGACTCAGGCAAGGAGTAGGGCCCAGGACTGGGATAATACTGCTCGAGGCACATACTTCCTGGCAAGGCAAAGGTCACAGAAATTTAATGTTTGTTCTTGAAGGCCTCATGATGATAATCCTGCATCCTGATGGTGACATCAAAATGACCACATCCAAGCCATGTGCCTGATCTATATATCTGTATTGGACTGAGTGAAAGTGTTAGTTGCTTAGTTGTGTCCAACTTTTCGCGACCCCATGGACGGTAGCCATCAAGGCTCCTCTTTCAATGGGATTCCCAGGCAGGAACACTGGAGTGGGTTGCCATCTCCTCCTCCAGGCAGTATTGCCAACCCAGAAATAAAATCTGTGTCTCTTGCATCTCCTGCATTGGCAGGTGAATTCTTTACCACTGGTGCCACCTGGGAAGCCCTGTGTTCCTCTGTTAGGTCGAGGCTAATAGCTACAGACTATCCTATCCTATTATTCCCTTCCATCTGTATAGTTATGGATCACATTTTCATTTTGTTGTGTTTCTGGGAGTGATCAGTTCCCACTTAATCATAAACCCTATTTATCCTTTGTTTAAATTATAATCACCATCTTGCTATTTTGTCGGGGTAAAGGTTGAGAGAAGCCTGAAAATAAGCTAGCTAAATAAGAGTGATCCTTTAAAATCATGTAAGACCATTGCATTTCTCTGCTCAAAGTCCTCCAAGGACCCCAACTTGTTTGGCATAAGAGCTGAAGACCTCACAGTCCCTTCCTTCAATGCCCTGCATCATCTGTTCCTGTGACCTCTCCGCCCTGCCTTCTATCATTTTCTCTCACCTGCCTTCTCCCTATTCTTCAGATTCACTGGCATACTCATACCTCAGAACCTCTGCACATACACTGTCTTACTTTTGCCATGTGGCTTGCTCCTTTCAGATCTTTGTTGAAACACCACTTTTTAACTAAGGCCATCCCTAACCACCTCAATTTAAAATTTCAGCTTTTACCCCCAGCACTTGCTATCTTCTTTCATTCTTTTATTCTCTATAGCATTTTTCACTATCTGATATATTTCATGTGTATATGTATATATGTGGGTTTCCCAGGTGGCACAGTGGTAAAGAATCCGCCTGCCAATGCCGGAGATGTGGGTTTGATTCCTGGGTTGGAAAAATCCCCTGGAACAGGAAATAGCAATCCACTCAGTAGTCTTGCCTGGAGAATCCCATGAACAGAAGAGCCTGGTGGGCTACAGTCCCTGTGGTTGCAAAGAGTCAGACATGACTGAGCATGCACACACACATACACACACATACACACACGTATTTAGTTTTTGCCTGTTTTCCCCTACTAGAATGTTAGCTCCACAAGAACAGGTATTTTTGCCTTGTGTTCACTGCATTATTCCCAATACCTAGACATGTACCTGGTACATAGGATGTTCTCTAGCAATGCTCATCAAATGAATGAATGCATGAATGAGCGTCCATGAATCTTTGATTTCCTGTCAAGGGTAGCTTCCAGCTATTAACTCAAAGGTAGCTGCTTCTCTTGAAAACAACCAACCAACCATGATTTTCAGTATGTCAGGTAATAAATGATACAGTAAGTATAAGAAAGAATAACCCCATGTCTTGACAGTGAGTTAAGCTACAGAAAAATAAGCTGTATTAGTGTAGCTCCAACAAAACTTTAGTTCACACACCAGACTTTATCTATTATATGATATACCTAATGTATGATTTTCTTTATGATAAAATTATGACATCTAATTTATATAGATTTGTTTTTTAAAAGGGCTTCATGATATTCAAAGTCTAGATAATATAAAGTGAACATAAACCCTGCTAATAACACTTTTAAGCACCTATGCTTTCAGTATTCAAAGAATTCAAAGAGGAAATTAACAATAGTTTTCCCAACTTTTAAAGGGAAGAAAGAGAAAACACAAAGGAAAACCCGATTCACATGAATGGGAATAATTTTCTTACCTTGATGTGCTGAATTCCGCCCATGTTCATCCAGGCCTGTGCTTGATCTGGATTTAACTCCACGGCTGCTTTATAGCTCTAAATACATAAGAAATATCTTCAGGCTGGGAAACGAGAACCCATCTTTAACACTGTAGGACTGTCAAAAGCATTTTCTACATATGTGGAAATTTAAATGGTTGATAAAATGAACAGTCATGTCTAGTTCTCAGGTGTTCCCTTTATTTCTATTATTTTTCAAAGCTGATGATTCTAAAGTGGAGGAAACTGAAATGTGTAATTTCCTTGCAGAGCTAACCTTTGGACTTAAAGAGGCTGAAGATGCCTGCCAGGCATGCAGGTGATTCCTATTACATGCATCATTTCCCACTGGCCTCGATCTGCGAGAAAATGGTGCTCTTAGACCTTTTCACTGTAAATGGACTTTGCAAGAAAAATATAATCACAGAATCTTTGTTTCCTAAACAGCTTACCCCTCTCACAAAATCTGATCTGATTATTCAGCCCATGCTTAAATTCTTACAGGGACTGGTATTCTGTATTTCTTTAATGACATCTAATAATTTTTTTACCAGAGGATAGTTTTAATCATTAGAAAGCCTTTGTTTTTCTTCTGCCCTGTGAAAGATCTTAAAGTGTTTGAATAGAGTTACTTGTTTCTCAAATAATTTTTGTCTGAATAACATGTATCACAATGTCATATCTGTGAAGTACATTTTTAACATTTTGCATGTAGTTTTGAATCAAAGGGTATATTCACCATTGAGCTTTGATTTTAAGAGTTGTCACTTTAAATAAAACTAAAGCCTAAGAGTACTGTCTTCAATTACAAAGCTAAGTATCCATGTGTATATATTAATGTTCCTTGCTATTTTCCTGAATAAGAATCCACCTGAACAGATCCATAAATAACTAGAATCTGGCCATCACTCCTCTACTTCAGTTTGAGGAGAAAGAAGCAAATGTTAAGAAACCGTGTTGCTAAAAAGTTGCTAAAATAAACTGAAGAGTATGTCTTGTGTTAATTTTTATCAGCAGAATAAAATGTTTATTTCTGTCCTCTGTGTGACCTTGAATAAGTTAGAAAAGCTCTAAGTCTCAATTCAGTCATAAAATGAAGACAATGAGCATGTCTTTCTTATATGATTGTTGTGAAGATTAAATTACTTAATACGTGTGAATTATACATTAAAAAGCTAACATCGTAGCTGCTATTATTGGCCAATGGCTTTACTCCTACTCACAAATCAAGCCATAATGACTATTTAATCCATTAGTCAAGTAACTAGAAAATACTTTTGTTTTTAATACCATATATAAAATACAGACAGATATAGATACCATATAAATACTCATACAAACGATCATGTAAGTTATAAATAATCAAAGAAAGAGCATTGAAAGTTACAAGGCAGAGAGGAATTCAGTTTCTGCTCAAATAGGCCACCATTTCTGTTTTGACATTCACATTCAAATTAGTTTCTCCAAATATCTTTATGTGCTTTTCCAATAATATTTTAAAAGCCATTTACTATTTATTTTCAAAAACAATCTTATCATTTGAAATTTTACTTTTTTGCATAATTGTATGAATTCATTAATTATAACCTGTGGCTTTATTGAGGAAAATATACGGCATTTCTGTAACATTTCATTATGCTTGTAAATGTCTTTTTATTTCAAAGTGGGTTATCAGTTTCATTCCAAAGATACACACATTGAACACCTCTAAGATGCAACATATTATGCTTTAGAACACAGAAGGAAGCAGTCCTTTCCACAAGGAAAATGCAGTCGAAACAGGGAACTAACCAGCACTCATGCAGGTGCACAGAGGGGAGAGGATGGGGAGATGGAGAAGAGAGAGAAATCTAACAACACAATAAATAATGCTTTCAAATGACTGATAGAGACAGAAGTGTGTTTTAGAAGTTCATAGGAAACAAGTAACTGGATGAAAGTACGGTCTGGAGGGCTTCCTGAGGGAGACACAGGCCTGTGTTGGTAGATAAGTGGGATTCCGCAGGGACTGGTGGATGGGGTGGACAGTGACATGTGGAATGCCAAAGCTCCTTGGGGCACTAGTCTAGCTGAAACAGAGGGTTACTGAAGGCAAACAGAGAGTGAAAGAGTGAGAGAGAGAGAGGAAAGCTTACTTGAGGGCAAAATGTGGAATGCTTTAAACATCAAGCTAAAGGTGATAATTCTGAAAACAATGCAGAGGTATTGTAGAACTCCTACTAGTCAAACACCAGAGGCTCAGTTATTAAAAAAAATAAACTTACAATGTCAAGTAATCAGAAAATTCACTCTACAAACATGCCATTGATCTTAGCTTTCAAGGTATATGTTTCATTAAAGATTGAGAGAGTATTAATTTTAATCCATATATTTAATAACAACTTCATTAAGTGTTTATACCTCAAAAGCTTTGTCCAGGAGGTTCTGCTCTCTCAGTTGGTTTCCTTTTGTGAAAAAAAGTTCAGATATAACTTTTGGGTCCTTTGGTTTCAGCTTGAGAGCCTTGTCTATAGCATCAAGTGCCTGTATAGGTTGGAAATTAAGACACAATAAGTGTAGATTAGATAAAGAAAAACCAACTTAAACAATATCTTCCATTCTTTTTGTTTTTATGTATTGGCTAGTGTGATGAGTGGTGATCAAAACACATTCTTCATTTTATCTGATGTTCTCATTGAGGAATAATGCAGCCCTGACCAAACAATTTCCCTATACTCCAGGTTTCCTATTTATGTGACAATGAAATATCCCTGATCACTTTACAGGAACATTGTGTGATCCCATCGAAAAGAAACAGCATCTGGGGTTGGATGTTTCACCCTGGCCACATGTCCATCTGGACCACTCCAGCAGCCTCATCTTGGGGCCTGGTGCTCACTCTGCGCCCAGCACCCACTACCCCACCCCCTGCAGCCAGAGGTCCCTTCAAAGCACAAATCTGACAAGCCTCTCTTCTCCCTAAAGCCTCAAAGCTTCTTGCAGTATAAGGAGAAAATCCCTTGTCCTGGTCCCAAGCCTTAGGATACAGTGACCAGCAACCGCTGTGGTTACATCTTGCATGCCCCCTACTCCATCCATCAAGCCCATCCCTCAGACGGGGTCATTTGCTGTTGACTTGGGGCCTTTGCATGTGCCTTTTCTTGCTTGGAATGATATTCACTGCCCTTTTTTGTTTAATAACTCCTATTCATCACTCAACCCTCAACTTCACGTCACTCTAGAGGGAACCTGACCGCCCAGACTACTCGGGTTCCCTGGATATGCTTGTTAGCAACCAGGCTGCTCTTCACGACATCGCTGGGCACAACAATAATTCCGCACTGGTTTTGTGATTACTTGTTCAATCTTTGTCTCCTCTTCGACTGTAAACTCAGGAGGACAAGGGCAATAATTCTTGTGTGTTTTTTTTTTTTCCAACACCACTTTATTTCCATTTGATAAATATTTTGTTGAATCAGTTCATGAATCTACTGGTTATGTGACTTAAAAATGAAGATAAACAGTACAGTTGCAACACAGGGCCATTGACATGCCTTAAAGGGTTGTTATAAGGATTCTATAAGATATATATTGAGGGAACATGCAAAATTATAAAACATACCAGTGTTAGTCCTTATTGAGTTAGCTGAAAACAAACTGAGATGACACCACATAAAACCTTCAGACCCAGAACAAACCAAGAAAACAGCATTTCAAGGGGTCATCTAAGCAATCAAGTAGGTATCTGTGAAAAGTGCCAAATGGTAATGTTCAAGACTGCTCACCCTTGTGAGGGTGCAGACTGGAGGCTCATTGAGCTACACCCGACAGGTACCATGAACACAAACAATTCCAAACAGCGTGCTCTCTACCTTGTCATGTTGCTCCTGCTTGCTGTGGATGGCGGACAGCAAGCGATAGCATTCAAGGCACCCAGTCTCCTCTGACACAATGTGACTGGTCATCTTTTCAGCTTCTTTTGTCTGTCCCATCACGGCCAAAACCTGAGCCTACAAAACCACACGGACCTGGGCTTAGAAGGCACTTGGTTATCATCATTCAGGAAATCATTCAGGAAACGTTTCCCACAAAAGTGCTCAGCATCTATTTGTGACTCACAGAGAGGGCTGACTTACCACAGTTATTAATAATAGGCTTTAGTTTTCTGTCATTTGTTTCTTTATGTAGGCATGTGCCTGCATTTGTGCATGCATGGCCGGAACATCAAAGTCATTCAATGAAATGACTTGTGCCTTTTAAAAAAAGGTGACTATGTGAAAGAGAAATTTTCCCTATGGTCTCATCAGAACACTGTGTTTTAAACAAGAAAACAAGAAAACAAGTTTGTTTTATTGTAAATCTAAGGAAAAGGAAGAGTAATGATCCCAAAATTGAAATAAAAAATATTGTCAATATTAATTTTCCTAAATTTGATACCTAACTGTTCTGTGGTTATATTAGAGAATATCCTTGTTCTTAGAAACTATACGCTGAAGCATTGAGAAATAAAGAGTAAGAGATCGATAACCTCACATCGCTCAGGAAAAAAATAACATGTATTAATAATATGTATATGCACACACATATCTAAATATACACATACATACATGTATACATACATACATAAATACATACATGAGAGGGTGATAAATGCATCAAAGTGCTAAAAATTTATCAATCTGAGTGAAATAATTTACAGGATGCTATATAGAATTCTTGCAAAATTTTGTAGGTTTGAAATTATTTTTTTTAAAAAAACATAAAAGTGTCTTTAGGGTCCATGTGTCTGGTGAATGGGTCTAACACTGGTTATGTGAATATTCATTAAATGGATATAGTATATCATTCTCGTTCCCCTTCTGAGGCTTACTAACTACAGCTCCCTGTATTGCATGCCATGCATTTCTTCTCTTCTCCATCCTCTTTCTTTCCTCTGTCTACTCACCAGTGCCAGGCGGAGCTCCCTTTGGGAAGGCTGAAGGGCCACGGCTTCCCGGTAAGTCTGCAAAGCCTCTTCGTATCTGCCAGTGTTGTAATACAGCGCTCCCAGAGGCGACAGTATCTCAGTTTTGCGTGCCACCTGCAGGGCACTGAATTTTGAGAAAACAAATGGACATTTTTCTTCTAATAGGTACATTTCCAGAGGTTGAAATTTAGATTCAGGGACCACTGTCTATGGTTTGAGACTCTGCTCCAACCTGGTCTTTTTTTTTAATATATATCAAGAAGAATGTTTAAAAAAAGATCATGGTACCATCCTCTGACTATAAGAATGTTTCTAGTGACCTAGCAATATGTAAATTGAGCCCCAAGGATCTTTTCCATTCACCGAGACAGGCTTGTTTGGATGTATGCACTTTTTCATTTAGATCCATTTTTGAAATTGCTATTTGTAGTTTCAGTTGTTAAGTCCATAGCTTCAGAAAACAATGGACTAACTAAAATGAGAATTAAACTCCAAACTTGGTTTAGCACCATATGTTAACCAGCAGGCAAAAATGTCATTAATCAGGATATCATTTATCCTCATAGTACCATTTATGGTACTGTTCTCTGGAGAGGAGAATCTGTTTTGTCTGCATTGGCAAAATTTGCTAGCATTCTGAAAGAATCTCTTCCAATTAACTAAGAGTTTGATGGCCAACTGCAGGGGCTTTGGGTGACTTACAAAGTGAAAAATAGAAACTTTACCGTTTGTACCACTCTTCAGCCACACCGTTGTCTCCCAGTGACCTGTAGAGTCTCCCCAGGTTCACCATGGCCACGTGATGGCTTGGGCTAAGTTTGATGGCTTGTTGGTAATGGGCCACTGCCTTCTCTGGAAAGCCTGCAACCAGTGGTAGGTTGGTAAGAGCAGATCATGCCTTAGTTATAAAACAGACTGACCCTTTTTCTTTCTTTTTAACATATGAACTCTTTAATTTCTCTTCTGGTGATGATTATTTTTCTTACAGCCATACCATCAATTATTCAGTTTGTAAATTAGCACACATTTTGGCTTCTTGCCCCCACCTAACTTTGGACCATTTCACTATTCATCTTCACTTAAAACCTCTTTCTTTTATTAAATATATTATTTTCATCAAAGTGTTTTCTGGCTATTGCCGTAGCTGATAGGATGTTTTGAAATTACCAGTGATTGTTATTTACACAAGCTACTGTTGCTTCTCATTATATTCAAAGTAGAATGTGCTATTATAGAAAGAAAACTGTCCTGAAGCAACTTCTGAGGGTTTACCACAATTAGTCTACTGCAACCTAGTAACTGAGACATTCCTTTAAATAAGCAGGCAGCTGCTGTATTTTGAAAATATCTTTTAAAATAGTATGTTTTTGTTTAGATGGTATTTATTGAATGGGATTTTAATAATAATAATACCAACTTACATTTGTCCAATGCTTTGTATATTTTAAAACCTTTTAGTGAAATAACCTCATATGATTTTTGCAGATGTTTTGATCCTATTTAGCTGTCTTTTGATAGCACTTAGTTCCCTCTTGGGATTTAAATGATATTAAAAATTATTATCACTTTACAGATACAGACGCAGACGTGAAAAGACATTAAGAAACTCAACAAAAATCCCAGGGCAAGTGAGGATAAAGGCCAGAACTGGAACCAAATCTCTCCAGTATGATGAGATTCCCCAAAGAAGCTTCCTCATGAAATTGCATGTAAGTGAATGAATTGTGGAACAGTCTAAAGTTCTACATGGTGTGTTCACCTGCACAGACATCTTCTCAAGCCTATCTTCTTTGAATGCAAGTTTGACCAGGAGGTGCCAAAACACACCTCTGCATGTGTAAGGGCCTATGTATAGGTCACAGGTGAGAGGGAGAATAATACCAGAACAAAAGCATGAATATAGTGGGAGTGTGGAAAGGTATACAGTGGTTAGTGAGATTTGGGGGTTTGGAGTTGGGTGGGATATTTTGTTGTTGAAGTAGAAGGAAGAGGGCTAGATCAGGCCAACAGGAGGTCTCTTCTTCCTTTTTTGTAAAATTTTTTATACCTAATTTATTATTATGTTGCTAATGAACCAGCAGGTGGCACCATGAAACAATTTTGAAACAGTTTTACATGCAAAAATAAGGGATGTTTCCTAGGTATATCAGAATGTAAATTTATGTCCTATGGAACAGAAGAGCTTCAAATATCCTAGAAAATAAAAACCCTCTTGAGCATTTCATATCGACAAAATAATTAAAATTGAATTTGATTGCAGGGAAGGTAGTCTAATAGTTAATGAGAACAAAGTGGTGTTTTTATATTAAATTCAAGTATCTTTTCATCCTTTCTAAGTATTCAACACATGCCAACAGTATGTGGGAGTGCAAATCATAAAGAAAGCAGGATCCCTGCCCAGTAAAGTTTTACATTAAATGAGATAAAGCAAGTATATTTTATATAGCACCTGTTCTATAAGAGTATATCAATTATAATGGAACAGTTCCTTAGTATCACATAAGGAATGATGAAATAATTCTGGAGACTTTTAAATCAGCTGTAGAAAAGTATTTACCATCTGCCTGTAAATTGATTCAGAGGCAGTTTCTGCATCATTGTAGAGAACAGTTCATCATTATAGATTTATAAACTTGTATAAATGCTATTCAAAGGAGACAACTACTCATTAAATCATCAAAGCCACTTTTTGGCCACCTGGGAAGTTTCCCTGAATGATCTGATTATAAGAACTGGGCAGATTTTACCGAACTGAGACTGAAGATTTAGGAAACTGACAGCAAGTACAATGGGACTGTCAGTGTGAGTTTCCTGCCAAGCCCGGTTAGGTCTACTTTTGAAGCATTATTTGGGTGGATTGCCACTTTGCTTGTTAGATAGTATTATCTCATCTCAACAGGTTCTCTTTAATCTCACCAGTATCAACTAGGAAAACTCCATAGTTGTTGTGTAAGTCTGAGCTGTCTGGGCATTTCTTTATTCCAGCCAGGTATATTTCCTCAGCTTCTTTAAATCTCTCCTTTAAAAAAGAACAAAGAAAAATACATGAGAGAGTTTTTTTTTTTTCTTTTAAATCAGCAATACATTGAATAACAGAAGTGGGAAAAGCAGAAAATAACTTACTGAACATCTGCTATGCAATAGGCACCAAGATCAAACACTACTTACTTTGAGTTAAAGTCAGTGCCAACTGCACAGATATCAATGATATCATACTTGTGTTTAGTTCCTTCAGCACAAACCAGCTGATGTTTACTAAGAAGGAACATCTGAAAGGATTTGCCCTACAGAAAAAGCCTCAAAGTGGATGTCTGAATGGGATGCCTTCCATTCCAGCAACTCTCTGGATGAAAACAGGTGATCCATTCATATAGGAATGTCTCCCGAGGTGGGTGATCTTACTGGAGACAGGGTGGTGGTGGTTGTTCAGTAGCTAAGTTGTGTCTGACTCTTTGTGACCCCATGGGCTGCAGCACGCCAGGCTTTCCTGTCCTCCACTATCTCCCGAAGTTTGCTCAAACTCATGGGAGGCCTGGCTATTTGTCTAACAGCTGCATTTGCATGGCTAGCTCTTACCTATACTGTCTGACTTTGGGGGGAAATGTTTTTGAAGGAAGTGGGTGTGGAGGTTGATGCTGATTATGGGAGGGCTTTGCCTATCCTTTTCTTTTTAAAATATTTCTATAGCTTACCAAACCATTTGCTACTTCCCTTATCACCCTCTGCTTTCCATCTCTGAGCTGCATCCTTCCAATAGGAATACAGGCTCCCTCAAAGGCATACCTCCAACTCCTCCCTTTGTGGCAAGGCCCACATCAATTGCCACAGTTTCAACAGATCTTCTTCCAGTTGCTTTGGTTTTCTACTCTAATGATCCACTTTAACACATTTCAATAATTCTGAATTAGCTTTTAGGCACATTTTCCAAGACCATCTGAGACTGTCATGTCACACTTTCTTTTACAATATAGAAGGTAATGGATAATTAATGACTCAAAGCCACTCAGGTTCTAACAATAACTCTCAAGTAAACCACTTCCTAGTACTGCTATGAACGTCAGGTGAAAGGCAATGGTTTGGCATAAAACACAGAGCAACTGTTCCTTTCGTGTACTCTGATCATGGACACTGTCCATAATTTTATCAGAAGTTACTACTACTAAGTATTCAAACAGACACAGGAAAAGGGAATGGACAGCACCATTTTTCTCAGACATGACACCTTAAGCTTATGAGTAAAAATGCCCTAAGTACTGAACAAGAAGTCAAGAAGTCTAAATCTGATTTGACACAGAAAGGCAAAGACACTTAACTCTCAGTAGAATGACCAATGCCATCTCTCTTAATCTACATACTTAAGTACCATTTAGGGAACAAAGTATGGTTCAAATTTGGCAAATTTCTCTTATTTCAACTGCAAATCCATAGTCCAGCAAAAATGGATTTCCATGTTTCTAAAAATGTGTTTTCTAATTGCTAAACTCAAAAGAATCGTCAAACTAAAACAAAAAAACTCAAAGATGAATGAAAAATCTCAAGCTATCTCTTTTCAATCTATTGAAGAAAAAAGCTTAATGAAGATATCACCCACTGTGTGCGTGCATGTTAAGTCGCTTCAGTCGTGTCTGACTCTTTGTCACCCTATGGACCTAGCCTGCCAGGCTCTTCTGTCCATGGGATTCTCCAGGCAAGAATACTGGAGTGGGTTGCCATGCCCTTCTCCAGGGACCTTCCTGACCCAGGGGTCAAACCTTCATGCCTTAAATCTCCTGCATTGGCAGGTGGGCTCTTTACCAGTAGTGCCACCTGGGAAGGCCCATCACCCACTGAATGTCTCACAAATTGGTGAGTGTACATGTGTGTGTGTTAAATGGAGACAGGTAAGTCACAAAATACATAAGATCCCAGTTGAATTAATAGAGAGTAGTATCAGATATTTATTCATTTGCCCATTCATTCAGCACATGTTTTCAGTAATTGATAAAGAAAGCATAGCATAGTGATTAAGAACTGGGCTGCCATATGGGGGCTCCTCAAAAAAGCTAAAAATAGAGTTACCATATGATACAGCAATCCCACTCCTGTGCATATATCCAAACAAAGTATAATTTAAAAAGATACATGTACCCCTACATTCATAGCAGCACTATTTACAATAGTCAAGACATGGAAAAACCTAAATGTCCATTGACAAATGAATGACTAGAGAAGATGTGGTATATTTATACAGTGAAATATTACTCAGCTATCAAAAAGAATGAAATAACACAATAATACCATTTGCAGCAATGTGGACGGACCTGGAGATTATCATACTAAGCAAAGTAAGTCAGAAAGAGAAAGACAAATACCATATGACATCACTATGGTATGTGGGATATAAAATAAAACACAAATGAGCATAACTACAAAAAAGAAACAGACTCACAGACATTGAGAACAGACTTTTGGTGGCCAAGGCAGGGGGAGGTGGGTAGGGGAGGAGAAGAAGGAAGGAATGGGAGTTTGGGATGGATAAACAACAAGGTCCTACTGTATAGCACAAAGAACTATATTCAATATCCCATGATAAACCAGAATGGAAAAGAATATAAAAATGAAAATGTTTTATATATATATATATATATATAGGCTTCACAGGTGGTACTAGTGGTAAAGAACCCACCTGCCAATGCAGAAGACGTAAGAAACATGGATTTGATCCCTGGGTCAGGAATATCCCCTGGAGGAGGGCAACCCACTCCAGTATTCTTGCCTGGGGAATCCCATGGACAGAGGAGCCTGGTGGGCTACAGTCCATAGGGTTGCAAAGAGTTGGAGATGACTGAAATGACCTAGCACACGTGCACGTGCAAGCACGCACGCACACACACACACACGACTGAATCACTGTGCTATACAGCAGAAATTAACACAACATTGTATATCAACTGTACATCAATAAAATTAGAAAAAAGAGTTGGGCTGTCAGTGCTTGGCACATGGATTGGAATCCCAACCCCACCATTTACTGTCCCTGTGACTTTACTTCCCCTCTGTGTTGCCAAGTGTAAAGGAATAACCTATTTCAGAAGGTTGTTCTGAAGATCAAGTGGATTAAAACAGTTGAAGCCCTCAGGACAATGCCTAGCATGCTTTGTCATGTTAGCCTCTACCCTTATTACTACTACTAGGAGTAGTATTTGTTGAGCACATTTAAATACAAAGATGGCATTAGTATCAAACACTAACACTGGTCAAAACCCAAGAAAATCAAGATTTTAAAGAAATGGTTACCCAGGTTCAGATTAGCCAGGGCACTGTTTCTCTGGTTGCCTCTAAGAAATTGTTTACTGACCTCTGAATCAGAGATGATTTTAAAAAATGAAAAGGAAGAACATTCAAGTTACTTATTTTTTCTCATATAGGGTTAACTAAAGAGCTTGGATGGGAAATGCCTCGTGGACAGGGCTGTGACACCTGATACGGCCACAGTAATGATGCCAGGGAACCTGGACTCAAGAGCACTGCGCTTACCTCTTTACTACACTGCTCACATTGAATTGTATTCTGTAGTTTCGTTGTCTTTGAGCTCCTTAAATAGACACATTTTGTTTCATTCCTCCCCATGTCTTGGGCATCTGTCTCCCAGGGGTATAAGTAGTAGCACCACCCACGTGTCAAGTATATAGCGGAGGCAGAAGAGTGGGTAACAGACAATCCTACCCTCACAGACAAGACAGCGAGATTTGGGCAAGAGGGAGACACTGTGATGGCTGGTAACAGTGTCACAAAAGCAAGGCGCTTGGGAAGCAAACAGGAGCGACACACAGACTGGTGTTATAGAGTCTCTACACCTGCCAAGATTCAAATGCCGGGAAATGCAGGTTACCATTAACCCCAGCAATTGTATAATATAAAAATATGCTTGAAAAAAATCTGTGCTATTTGAGATCTTAAAAATATCCTTATAACTAAACTGTGAGAGAGTTGAAAGATATTTTTCCTGAAAGGAATAAAATTGATGTCCTTGTATTCTAAGTTGCTGAAGTCAAATACAAGAGCTTTCAAGTGCAATTACTGCTGTGCCTGATTTAATTTTACTTTTCCCCCATATTCCTGGCTGCTCCAAAAAGGCAAAGAGATCACCTTTTTCATCTAAAAATCCATTTTTGGATTTATGAGCTGAGTCTCCACTAGAAATGCAATTTTCAAAGTCCAAAGAAGTAATGCGATTTAAAAGACCATCCATGTCTAGAGCAAGTAATCACATTCCTGTGCCTTTGGTATCCCCAAGGGCTGCCTCCAGACTTGGGTTCAATGAAAAATGCTTTCAATATCTGTCTTTCTTGTCCTTTCACTTGACTGTAAATTTCAAAGAATGATTAACTCCACTTATTAAAAAAACGAAAAGGAACCACCAGTGCAGGAGAAAAATGCTTTCTAGGTATTTATTTAAAACAAATTTCACCTTCTCTGGAAGGGCAGTGCATTTATCTTCAAAAGCAGTATTCTTAATCCTTCAAGTTCAATTTCATTTACCTCATCTGGCTAGATGTCCTGACCTAAGCTGATCACACCCAGTCTCTACTGACTTGTGAGAGCCAGAGGAAATGAATATAAGCTATTTACAGGACAACTTTAATTAAAAATGTTTGTGACCTGGAGATTAGTTCTGACAAATAATACGGCCACCAGAGTCCCCAGCCAACCGCCGGCTCAGCATGAAGTCAGCCTTCGAGGACAGTGGTTAAAAATGGGCAGTGTGCAGCCATGGGCCCCACTCCAAGGCTCAAAAGAATTTTCAGTGGGGTGGAAATAAAAGGGCCCGGGGGGAGAGATAAAATACTGTCAACATCTCCATGTTGTACCTGCTGTAATTACCGGCATAGCATGCTTTTTACCTCAAGGAAAGGAGGGTGAGAAGTAGATCTGAAAAGGGGCCTTTTGGCATTTACTCTCTTGGGCCAACTGATATGTCTGGAAAAGATTTCTTATAGTTCAAACCGCAGCAACCAGGGGGGCAAATAGACATGGGCT